TAATGGTGAAAATGCACTACACTAGCTATTGGTTATTTTAGCCATCAGCAAAATTATCTGTGCAGTCCAACCCAAAACTAGGATTGAAAATCTTGTTCAAAATACTCTTGAGAGCAATTAATCTCTAACAATATTTGGACAAATACAATTGCTATTCAACACAAATTAAGCCAAGACCAGTACCATGTTGTAAGGCTGGGAATCCCAAGTTCTTTACTACCTCTGTTAGCAAACATCTTAGTGATCCTGAGTGCATGATTCCTATCACAGCTTCCCATGAACCTGATCTAGGATGTGTTAAACTGAACTCTCTTGAGTGTTTTATAAATGCTAGGATTAAAAACATTACAAAAATGTTACAACACATTCAAATAAATGAGATTTAACTTTTGATTTTCATTCCATCACGTTAATGAATTGTTAATTCAGTTATATATTCTGGTTCATATATTTCTTTTCAGAAACTTAAAACCCCCCCTCACTTTAAGACATGCTCAGAAAAGAGAATTTATCAATTTACAGTAAGTAGGGCATCCTATCAAGACTCTGAAGAACTAAACACTGCCATCACCAGTTCCACCATTGACTTAACTATTTGATGCAGACATTGAAAAAATATGTTTTGCTTTAAGATAACAAACCTCATCCCGCTATCCCTGGAAATAAATCATGGGGCAGAAGGGTGTCATTATCATTCTCAGAGGCTCACAGACACCTCCCATCTCAAATGCTGCATCACTCAAATGCTGCCTCCTGACCTACAAAAACCAATTCACACCCTACCCTTTTATCATAGACTATGCACTTTCCTTGATCTCAGACTTACGTCATCTTTGTACCAAAGATAAAGACTGTCTAGACTCACAGACCTCTGTCAGGCCTTAAAAACCTTCTTCTGCACTGCCAGCACAGTCACCCGGGACCTGCCTTGCTGCATGAAGCAGTTCCCTGTGAAGCAGCAAAAGGTTCACTACAGTCCTGTAAGCTGTCAGCAGGATAGAGATCACAGGATCCACTACCTTGTGTCAGAACCCTTTTCAGATATTCTGAAGGGCCCCAGGAAGAGTACAAGGTGGAACAGAAGAGAACCGGGCTGTTCTTTGTTGCCTTAGCTGTCTATGGTATCTTCACTTCACTCCATTCTGGCACTTTTAATTCTACTGCTTCTTCTTGGGTAAATGGTATTTTGAGGAAGGAATACGGGACTATCGAAACAAACGTCACATAATCACTCTGGCAGAACCAGTGACAGTCTTTCAACAATAGAGGGAATACAACCCAACTACATGGATGGATGCAATATTCCTTCTGCTTGAAGCCTTTTGCTAGCAACAATGCTTCCAGTTTAGCATCATGACTACATGCAAGCTAAAGCAGCCAAAAAGCAAAAATACAAAATCAATATAGACAGTGGTTCTTTATAATAAAATAAGCAGCACCTTGGAAAAAAAAACAAACAAAAAACCCCAAACTAAATATTGCTGTCATTCAATTACAGGTGAATGCAGAAAAGAACCTGGCCAAATGCTTTCCATTTTGTCCCAAGGTATATACCACCTACCTTTTGGTATTCTTCTCTAAAGAAATAGTAAAGCATTTTGATTCAAGTTATTGGGGTAGGAAGCCAACATCATGTTTTGAAATTATTTTCAAGACTTCCAGGAAGTACTGGAAGCTGCCCACATTAGCAGAACTGGCTGTGAGCTAGAACAATGAAACTACATGAAAACGTAGTGTCATCTCAAGGCTATATATATTTTATTTTGTTAATTTTTAAGCCCATCTTCTAAGACAAACCTCTTCTAGGAACTGGTGGAAAAAGACACAGGGTATCTCACAGCTCACCATGGCTCCTGGCCCAAGCTGCTCCTACAGGTGTGAAGACTGATGAGCCTCAGGCTCTCACAGCAGGAGTGCACAAGTGCTCTTCTCAGAAGGCTGTGCTCATACATTAGTGAGTTTTAGACCTATTTATCACCTACATTTAGTTTATGTGTTACTGATTTTTCATAATTCAGTCCTCTATCACAGCTGCTACCTCTATATAACTGTACCTATTCTTAAATATTTGGAGAGTAAATTATCCACAATATTAGGTGCTTGTATCAGAACTGTGAATACACCCACATCATAAGTCACTGCTGCTGATGCCAGATCCTTGGTGTCTGCCACGATATTCTTCAAAGACAGCAGAACTAGAAGCAACTGACTATGTGTTTCATCTCTGGTTTACAAAATAGAAACAGCAGAGGAGAGAGGAGGCTTTATGCAAAAGAATGGCCGCTGTCATCACCAAGTTCTCCATTTTCTACCCTTGTCAAACTATCTGGCCTGTAAGCAGTAAGCCTTTAAACCAAAGAAAAATAAATGAGATGCTAAGCATATACATCTGACAACAAAAAGCAGTCCATTTTTTCTTTACATGCTAATTTCACTGCATTGTTTCCTTGTCAAATGCATTTTTACCACTGAACATAACAAACTTCCATGGTCCACACAAAAACATCACTCAGCTGGAGCTAATGCTCACATGACAGGTGATGCTGTTGTTTCCCAGTAACAAGGAGGGCTACCAAAAAGGAACTGTTACTTGGAGGCAGTGCAAACACAAATTTGAGTGAGCCAGTGTGTGTGTGTTACCAAGATAAAACCCACAGTGGTAAATCAGAATTACTGCCTTTTGTTGTAGCTCAAGATCTTCAATAAGTTTATTCAGCCCTTAAACATTTACTATATAATACTTACTTTTAGGGACAGTTTTACTTTGAAAATACTTTATCTTCTAAATCATACTGAATAATCATATTTTGCAGCTGTAACAGCTTCTACCAGTCTACAGGCAAAAAATACAACCAGTCACCCTGCACTCATTCAAGGTATGCTAGTACATCTAAAAATCTTTTCCCTAACATTAACTAGGTCTCTCTATCTGCAACGCATTTGAGGACAGCAGGTGTCTTACACACCACTTTATAATGCAAAACAGTAGTTCAGTTGCAAGAAGAGAGATGCAAGAGCACTGATGCTGCCCCAGCACACATCTGTGTGACTGCTTTGGGCTGTCAACAGCAAAAGAAGATTTTCAACATAGAAATGTACTGCTTTTGAAGGTTCAACATTTTATCAGTTAATATACAAACTGGCCAGTCAGGGAAAATATTTTAAGGCAGTTCCCTGTTTATTCTGATAATATTTTCCAGTATCAGCTTTCATCAATCTGTTACCATCCAGTATTTCTTATGAACTAAACAAAACTACTGCTTGGTAACACAGAAAACAATTAGACACACACAGAGAGCTGAGGTCCTGAAAAAGGCCATTCCTTGTTTTTTGAAGATAAGACAATCCAAATGAGACATGGTACTTCGCATTTCACACAGAGATAATCTTATCATAATGATATTAGCTAATTCACTTAATTACAAACCGTTTTCACTTAGTGGAAAAAATATTCATTTAAAGGTTTGATTAGTGAATATTTCGGATCCTCTGAATATTTGCCATTGAGTTTTCCCCAAAATTAACTCAGCCATTTTCAGCATAAGTGCTGACATTTCAAGCCCATAATTTTAAAAAGAAGAGTTACTTGAATACAAAATAGTGCAGACATTTGAACAAACGTTCTTTAGTTAACAGTTCTACAATAAAGTTAAGTATCTTCACTGTAAAACTGCATAATAGGGAAATAAGTTCCTGAAGCATTTACTTGCATTTCTGATAAACTGGCTAATAAACCACTACAGATTAATTGGAAAGGCTAAGCTATTTATTAGTGAGTCTCTGTACAAGTATCTCTTACAGGCACATCACAACAGTATCTTCTTAGTTTCTTAAGAACACCGGTCACCAAATAATCCTTATTTTAAGGGAAAGTAAACACAGTATGCACCAGATTCAAGAGATTATTTTTTTAAGACAGCTTTGAAGGGTCTAAAATTTGGGGGTTTTCCAATTTTATCAATAACGTTGCTGCAGCTTCCTCAGACTCGTAACAGTTACCTTCCATATACTCAGCAGTTGAAAATATTTCCATATAAAGCTAGGTTTCCTTTTGCTTATGACTTCGTTTAATCTACCACACTCCATGAAGGCAAGGAAATTTCTACCTACTACAGTTTATACAAATTTCAACATAAGCATGGCATCCAGCTCCTGTTTTAAAGCAAACTTCAGAGCTGGCTTGAATTAGCAGTTCCCTCCTCCCATTTGGACCCCAAGGAATACACACAGCAACCTCACAACCCAAATGTTAAACATCCTCCTGTGACTGCCCCATGGGGTCAATAACACTGAAGTATTAAGCAGCTCCTACATCAACTGATTTTCTCCTTGCTTTTACAGACTGAAATGAGGACTTAACTTCACTCACTTAGTCGTAAACATTATTTCTTCACTCCAATTTTTCCTTCATTTGAACACAATCCTGAGAAGTATTCCATTTAAGAATTTGTAAGACCATTGCATACTTTGAGTACTACTAAAAAGCAGCACAATATACAACTCTTTCTTGTTGTAACCATTAATTCCTTTTAACAATGTTTACATCAATGGCAACTACCTAAAATAGTTAATTAAAGTTATTTTTTATGTTTACTTTATACAATGCAAGCACTTACGGATCCTGTACCAAGCACTCTTAAGGCTACAGATTTGTGTTCTATCCAAAGCCTTATATGCTCTCTCTCCATCACAATTCAGCTAGCTGTTTTCTATGTGTAAGGACTAAAACTCACCCTTCTGAGTGTTAGCAACTTTGTGTAATTTTTTCAATAGTAATGACAGTAATAAAAATGAACCTGTGTTTGTATTTTATGGTTACTGTAATGTTTCAATATGGTTAAAAATAATCCTAGAATTCCCTTACGTTATGGTTATCCAAAAGTTAAAAAATATTTTGTTAGAATTGCTAAAAATAAGGTCATTTTCCACCAGTCTAGTTGGGAAAGCTATGTTACTTTTTTAGACAATAAAAACAAAGTTCTACTGGACATCTTCCTCACCTTTTCTGTCTGGTTTGAGGTTCCGATCCACTGGCGGTGGCTCACATTCTGCAACAGGTACTGACCGTCTGGGAGGGGTCTTTGGACTGGACCTGAAACCCATGTGAGCAGGAGGAGGGACTTGCTTTCCAAATAACGGAAAATCAAATGTGCCTGGTGTCATTGGTACATAGTTTGTTTCCTGGATGGGTTCAGTAAAGCTGCTGGAATGCTGTCGTGGAGGAGAGTTGGGATTCATTGGGACATAGTTTTCATCTAGTTCTTCACTTGAAACACTTCCCACTGCCAACATGCTTCTGGTTTTCTAGAATTAACATATATTTCCTTTAACAAAATAAGTTATGCAATCAGCTATGAATCATTTGAGATTTTTTAACCTAATCTACAGAGATTTATATATTCTACTGAAACTGAAAAAAATCACAAACACCACACAGCTTGCTTTTTTACATGGGAACAAACAGCATTCAAACACTGCCACTGTTGTCTCTCATCAGATCAAGTCATACTTACAAAGTGGTTATGGAAGCCCTCCAATGAATTAGATCTGTCACTCGGAAACGTTCGTGGAATATCATAACAGTCTTGAGAACTAATTTCTAAAGAAACAAGAAGAGAAATTGGCTATTTATCATCCCTGTTCCTGTCACTTGGCACCAGGCATCCCGAGTCTTTTGTTATTTACTGTCTGCTTCTGAGAACACAGAAACAGACCTCCTGAAGCTGTGGCCCACAGATTTTATCTATATACTAGAGAGCACTGTGTTCACAAACAAACTTAGTACTGATCAGTGGCAACTTAATCCTCTTAGAGTGGTATTTTTCCATAGCAAGAAAAAATATTTTTTCCTTCTAAAGAAATAGCAAAGTCTTCCTTTCAAATAGGCAGGCATAAGCATTTAGTGTGAGAGTAGGTTTTGAAATACTGGGACCTCACAAAAAACCTATTCTAAAGTAAACAAACAACACATGTAATTCTGGGTGTGGAGAAAGGTTTCCTGAGTGAACACCATTCCCTTGGAAAGTGCTGATTCAATGGGATTCAAATGCAGGAACAGGTGAATCCCTGATCTCAGCTCCCCAGTGCCATCTCCAGGGGCTTTCAGTTTGAAACAACTGCTACAGAACCAAACTGCTCTCCAGTATCAGGGGCCTGGCTTTCGGCAATCTACATTAAGAAGGTCCTCAGCATTATGGTTGCTTCTCTGATGGACAGGGGTATCTGGGAGATGTCTGCTTCACAGGTCCCAGGCCCTGCTCACCCATGCAGGCGACAGGCTGCCTCATACCACAACAGGCATGCCCCTCCTCCTGGTGCAAAGACAGAAATTGTGGGTAAATTCTGGGTTTTATCCCTGCCTTCCCCTCAAAAAAGATAACAGTTTTTTTGGACATTCCCATCTCAGGGGAAAAATAAAAACCTCTGCTATTAAGCAGGAAGTATTTTCAGAAAGGCTACTTTTTTCTGAGACTTTAGCGTAGGAGTACTCACAAACTTAGCAACAGGAGAGAAGTAAAGCAAACAAGGGTCTTTCAGGGAGTCACTTTGTCATTTTAAAACACTAACAACCACCAGTAATGTTACACTTAGCCTACAAAATGAAGGACAAACAGAATAATACTGAGTGCCTGTATCACATCCATTCTGTATATTGCCTCTGCTAAAAGACCTGTCCGTGTCCCCTTCCTCATTTCAGCCTCCCACCCCATACCTAGCACAACTCAGAGTTCTCCTTTAGATTCCCCTCTAACAGTAGCATCAACTCTAACCAGTTTAAAATTTCACTTTAAAAAAACCACTGTAAGGCCCACCTGCCTCAGGACCCTGAAAAAATATGCCACTCTTCCCCCAAGAGTGGTTAAGACTAGAACAACTGCTCTCTGTAGCAACAAATAACAGCTTCCCCCAATCTCTACCTCTTGCTGCATTTCTCGAGTTTAAATCTGAGAGAGTAAGAACAGGAAGAAAAAAAAACACCCAAGAAAAAACCAAATTCCTTAAGTAAAAGTAGCTCCACCAGATTTCCTACAACCCAAATATACACCCACCTGCTAAAGGAAAAACTAAGAAATACACACTAACTCATCTGGAATACCAACATATAGGTGACTATAAGGAACAACTTCATTTTTACTTTAAAACTGCAGTATGCATACCTATCATTAGGAGAGGAATTAAGGTCGGTGGCAACGGTCACCAGGTCAGGGTTGATCTCAAAGCTCTGGGTATACATTAAGTCCCACTGACCTTCATGAAACACTTTCAGCTTCTGTGGGTTTGGACCACTGTTCACTAACCTTACCTGGGTTTCTCTGTAAGGCTGTTATTGGCACTATGGAACTCAGCTATGTGAGATGATTAGTTCTTCACTGCTGCTCTTTTCTAAAGATGAGTAACAGTATAAATATGTCTAGGTCTTCAGTTACTTTTAGCTGAGACTGAATACCACAGTGCAACATACATCTCCTACTGAAGATCTGTGCCTTGCTGTCTTGACGACTTCCTTTAATGTTCTCTTTTTCTCCTTTCTACATATTTTAAGCATTTCAAGCACTGAGCTTTGTGAAGGGCTACACACTTGTTTTTAAAGGCTAGAAATGCCACTCATCATTCAGCCCATTCGTATCATTCATATCACATCATTCATCACGAGGTTACATCAGTTAACACTAAAATTCTGGAAGAGCCAGATAAAATGTGGAATACTGACCTTTACGAAATATATTC